AATTAAAAATTAGGGGTACAGAACTAAATAGACAATTCTCAATAGTGGAATCCAAAATGGCTGAAAGACACATAAGAAAATTTTCAACATCCTTAGCCATCAGTGAAATGCAAATCAAAACAACTCTGAGATACCATCTTACACCTGTCAGAATGGCTAAAATCAAAAACAACAAAGACAGTTTATGCTGGAGAGGTTGTGGAGAAAGGGGAACACTCCTCCACTGCTGGTGGGAGTGCCAACTTGTACAGCCACTTTGGAAATCTGTATGACGATTCTTCAGGAAAATGGGAATCAGTCTACCATAAGATCCAGCAATTCCACTCTTAGGCATATACCCCAAAGAAGCACATTCCTACAACAAGGACATCTGTTCAACTATGTTCATAGCAGCATTATTTGTAATAGCCAGAAACTAGAAACAACCTAGATGCCCCTCAACTGAAGAATGGATAGAAAAAAAATGTGGTACATTTACACAATGGAATACTACTCAGTGGGGGAAAAAAAGGCAATGGAATCTTGAAATTCACAGGCAAATGGATGGAACTAGAAGAAACTATTCTGAGCGAGGTAACCCTGTCACAAAAAGACGGGCATTATATGTACTCACTCATATGTGGATTTTAGGCATAGAGTAATGGATTGCCAGCCTGCAGCCCAGGCTGCCGGAGAGGTTGGTAAACAAGGAGGACCCTAAGAGTGACATACATAGTCCCCTGGAGAAGGGAAAAGGGACAAGATCTCCTGAGCAAATTGGGAGCATGTGGAGCAGGGGAGGGCACTAGGAGAATGAGAAGGGGAGAAGAGGAGGGGTGAGGAAGACATGATGGGACAGGGAGGATGAGTTGGGGGAAGCACAGAAAAGAGAAAGATAAGAGATAATATAATAGAGGGAGACATTATAAGTTCAAAGAGAAATCAGGCACTAGGAAAATGTCTGGAGAGCCACAAAGATGACACCAATCTAAGCAACAGAGGAGAGGATACCTTAAATGCCCTACCCTGATAATGAGATTGATGACTAATTCACAAGCCATCGCATAGCCCTCATCCAGCAGCTGGTGGAAGTAGACACCCACAGTTAAACCTTGAACTGAATCCAGATGCAGAGAAGGAGGACTTATGAGCAAAGGGGTCCAGACCCCCTGAATGTGGGTGTCAGTCAGGATACCTTGGAAATCTATGGGGCATCTTGTAGTGGATCAGTACTTATCGCTACCATAGGAATGGACCTTAGGAGCCCATCCCACAATGAGGGATACTCCCTGAGCCTAGACAGAAGGGGGTTGGCCTAGGCCCTATCCCAAAGAATATGACAGACTTTGAAGACCCCCCCCCATGGAAGGCCGCACTCTTTCTGGGGAGCAGAAAGGGTATGTATGGGATGGGTAGGGCGTTAGTTGGGGGGGGGGCAGAGGAGGAGAGAGGGACCTGGGATTGACATGTAGAATAATTTTCTTGCTAATAAAAAAAAAAACTTAGCAAAAAGAATAGCCATGAATTAAACAGCTAATAAGCATTTCACCAAAACAGCAGCTGTCAAAGTTTTGGGCTTATGAACCCTATACACTTTAAAAATTATTGGGAGATCAGATGTCTAGAGCTATTAGAAAACTTAAGAGAACCAGATGTACAACTTAGTGGCACAGATACATTCACATTGTTGTGTAACCATTGCCACTACCCATCAACAGATAAAACAAAAACAAAAACTTCCCAATCTTTTTCCTCTGTTTTTTGACAATCTCCATCATAAATACAATGTATGGTGAACTCCTCTTGCATTGCCTTCTCTTTTTCGGCCCCTATCCCCAACACTTTTTTTTTTTTTCCCAACTAGTCCTCTCCAATTATTATGACTTTGTTTTAATCCACGTTGTTAGTTAGGGTTGCTTGTGTAAGCATGGATAGGGAGCTTTTTGACAGAGCATAGGCAACTCACTTCTGCTTACACCATTTAAGAAAATGATGTGTCTTAGTTAGGGTCTACCATTGCTATCAGGAGGGCACCATGACTACAGCAACTCTTATAAAAGAAACATTTAATTGAGGGAGCTCACTTACAATTCAGAGGCTCAGCCCATCTACATCTTGCAGGCAACAGGAAGTCAACTGTCTTTCACAAGGAGTGAAGCTTGAGAAGCCCTCAAAACCTGCCCCACAGTGACACACTTCCAACAGAAGGTGTGGCCAAGATACATTCAAACTAATACAATATCCCTTCCCCAGCTGCTGTGGAATATTCCTGTACGGTGTGGAAATTATGCTCTGATTAGTTTAATAAAGAAGCTAACTGACCAATAGCCAGCCAGGATTAGTTTAGGCAGAAAAAGGAAAGAAGGCAGAGTCAGGGGAGATCCATCAGACCATCCCTCCTCCAGGAAACAAGATGTGCTAGAAAACAGCTAAAGCCATGAACCACCTGAATAAACATAGATGAATAGAAATGGGTTAACTTAAATGTAGTTAGTAATAAGCCTGAACTATTAGCTGAATATTTATAAATAACAATAAGTCCCTGGGTAATAATTGGAAATAGATGCCAGGACAGAAAGCAGGCAGTCAGGAGAGGAAAACCTATATCCAGCAACCTTTAACTGCCAATTGCCCCTCTCCCTCCTCCTCTTCTTCCTTCTCTTCCTCCTCTTCCTCCCCACCCCCTGATAAAATGTTGAAGAGCCCAGTCTTGTGCAGGCCTCGTGCAGGTACGGCTACTGTAAAAATGCTGCTAGGAACACAGGTAATTCTTCAAAGCCATTTAATGGTTTGTGTATGTGTCCAAAAGTAGAATTGCTACCTCATGCAGTAATTCTGTCTTTCATTTTTGAGGAACTTCCATACTGTTTCCTGTAGCAGCTGCAGCATTTTGCATTCTCACTAGTAGTACCCAGGACTTTTTCTGCACCCTGGCCATAGTTCTTGTGGGGTTTTCTCCTCTTGTTGTTTAATAGCAACCTTCCTAATGGGTATAAGTGGTCAGGCATTGAAGCTCTGGTAAGTGATTTAAGAATGGTGGCTTTTTTTCTTTTTTCTTTTTCTTTTTCTTTTTTTTTTTTTTTTGGTGTACTTACTAGCTATAGGTGTGTCTTCTTGGGAGAAATTGCTCTCTGTGACCTTTGCCTATCTATATTTGAATTTTGTTGTTGCTGTTGGGTTGTAGGAAGACTAGAAAAATCATAAAAACTAATATCACACAAGTACCCATTACATTAGCCATCATTAAGTGTGACATTCTCACAGGTCCAAGGGCTTCTGGAGACTTCTACTCCATACTCATGAGGGGAGAATGTTTTAAAAGGCAGATAGCATCTTGGTCCTATATGAAAACAGTTTGATTTTTCAGTTTCTCTAAATAGCTGTTGGAAAACTCAAGGAATCTAAGTCATTGTCGCTCCAGTCGCTCCAGGGTAAAGCTTAGGCTAGCCCTTAATTAAAAGAAGTCTATTGGCAAAATGAAAAGAAAAGAAGGTTCTTTTGTTATTTATTCATTTGTGGGGGTCTCACTCATGGGTCTACAGCCTGGGTGGAAGTCAGAGCATAATTCACAGGGGGGTTCTCTTTCCTGTGAGTCCTGGGGATCAAACATGACATGAAGGCCATCAGGTTTGGCAGCAGGCACCATTGACTGGCCCATCTTGCCTGGCTCCATAAAGGGGTATTAAAATGTAGGCACTCTACAAGTTCAGTAAATGTATCACGTGTAATACGAACTCAAAGATTTCATGTTCTGAGGATTTACCAGTTCCATGTGTTAGATTTCCCAGCATTTGGAGACCCTGTTTTCTCTTCTACCCTTCAGATCAGCATGGGAAGCCACCCACTTTGGACATGTGCACTGTGCTTCCTTCATATTGGTGCCTCTTGTTTGGGGATCCTTTCTTGTTCCTTGATGACTAGTAAATTGACAGTTGTCCTGGTTGGCTCATGGGAATAAATGTGCTTTTGTGAATTTTTAGACAAAACATTTATACCCTGGGATTTCACAGATATTCAGATAGCTGTTTTAGTATCTTACAGGGTGGAGTAAATGCCATGTTTAACTTGGGAGATGAGAACAAATACAAATTCTGCCATGAAACCTACTTCACTTTAGCCCAAACAGCATGACACAGACTCTATATTAATATGATTGAAACTGAAAAGAAAAACATAGATTTAAATGGATTTCCTAAGTGTGAGGGAAATTTTCTCTTGTGTGTTTATTAAAAAAAAAAAAAACTCTTTAAAAAAAGGAAAATGTATCCTTTTGCTAATTCACTTGAGATGGAGGTTGTCTTCTAACACAGCCTCTGAGAGCAAGACAACTATGACTAGTTCCCACCACATCTGTCTTTCAAATTACAACCAAAGCCTATGGAGTCAGCCCTGTGTGTTGATGACCTAAAAGAAGTGCCCTCTATGTGGGTCCAGCTTCGTTTTGTGTCCTTGCTGACCTTGGCACAGAAAAACTGCATTTAACTTAAGAAATCAGAAATGAGTACCAGCATGTAATAGAGCAGGGGAAGTGAATATTTTGTTTTCTGTTTATTTACTTATATTTTGAATTATGTGCATGTAGAGGGTGGGGTATGTGCAACTGGGTGAAGTTACATAAAGAGAACAACAGAGAGCAAGGGCATCAGATACCCTGGAGCTGGAGTTACAGGCAATTGTGAACTGCTTGACATGGGTGTGTGAACTGAACTCAGGTCCTGTAAGAGCAACATGCCCTCATCCCTGCTGAGCCATCTCTCTGGCCCTTTGATGTGTACCCTTTGACATTTTTATGCTCTTCTTTCCATTTTTCAATGGGCTTTCATGTGTAGCATTATGCTAGTGTGAATAATTTAATTATCTTACTGCTCTTTGTCTCTAAATTATTCTGGTTAGGAATCTGGGGGTTGGGGTTCTGCATGGTTCCTTGAAAAATATACCTTTGAAACTGCTAATGATGAAGACGTTTTGATTTTATTAACTCTACATGGTCATTTATTTTAAAGACATTTTTTGCCCCCCAGATTGGAAATGAGACCTTCCGAGTCCTTGGTGATCTTTGCAGTGAGGGAGGCTGTACCTACCTGAAGTCTTCTGTTAATGGAGTAGCCAGTAAATCCAAGTTCATCATTCTGGACAACACCATCTACCTGTTTTCCATGGTAATGTCCCACTCTTGTCTTGTTTTGATGAAGTTTCAATCTGCAGCTCAAGCTGGGCTAGAACTCATGGCAATTCTCCTTCCGTAGCTTCCTGAGTGCTAGGATGGGATGTAGGCTACCATGTCTGGGTTTGATGATAGCCCTCTTGGAGTTTGGGATGGAATTGATTAACCAGAAGCATTTCACTGAATGGCCCACTTCCTCCAACCACTGAGATCATGTTTCCCCCAGTTTCCCCCTCCATATTTCTTTGCCACATTCCCACCTTTCTAGTTCTCTTTTATCTGTTTCATTCCCATGGTTCTCGTTTTTTAGACATGACAGTTTTCTCCTTTGAATTCAGAAATGAAAGTGCTGCCATTCTCTCATACTAAATTTACCCAGACTCATCCCATTGACACTTGGAATCCTGGGGTTGTGGAGGAGGTGACCACTGGGAAAGCAGTCTGGACCAGATGCTTCTGGCAATGGGGAAGTGAATGGGAGTTAGTGGTAATGACTTGGCGCTCAGGAGAGAGCCAGGGCAAGCTTGGCTTGGCTTTAGTTTAGAGCCTGCTGACCAGTGAGCCCTCAGTTTCTGGGCAATGGAGAAAGACTGTCCATCATAGAGGTGGGGCCATATCAAGACCATATTGTTTATGGCGAAATGGCATTCGTGATTGAATTGTGCCTAATGTCAAGGACAATGCAGCTCCCCCAGCTGCTCCCTTCTGTAACAAACAATGCTGTAATGGTACCAGGCTGAGAGGCAGGCCATAGAAGGGCAAACAGCTCTGGAAGGTAAAGCTGTCCTAGGTCAAACCCTGCCACTCAGCAGCTATGTGACCTTGTACAGTTAAACTTTCCAGGCTTTGGTTCTTCCATCTATAACCTTGACAATTATAAGTATACCTCCTTCATAGAATTGAGACAATTAATGGCATAGTATGTATATAAGTGTGAAGTTCTTACTGTAGACTATGTTCTTCTTAGTAAAGATGTTAAAAACTCACTTCCAGAAAGCAGCTGCCATGTCACCTACAGTCCTGTCTTTTGATTCTTAATCCCTGGCTATACCATTATCTCTGTGTCATGGGAGATGAGACTGAGCAAGGTTTAGTAGCCTGTTAAGATCACTAAGCTTCATCAGAACCCAGTGTTAATGGCCACTAATGGTTACTAATAGCTTGAAAATTATCAATCCCTTGGGTGTACTAATGGGAATAAAGGGATGAGATCTTGATTCTATGCACACTGTTTTGTATAGGAAGGCAGTACTGAAATTGGCATTCCAGTACCCAAGTACTTATCTTCAGTGAGCTCAGAAGGAACCCAGGGAGGTACTATCGCACCTATGACTGGAACCATTGAAAAGGTAATCAGGGGACATCTGTAAAATGATGCCAGCAATGGCTAGAAATGTCTTTTTGAGTATCCTTTCCCTCCTAAATTTTTGCTCATTGGAAAGCACTCACTTCAAGAAAATAAGAAGACTTAAGTATAGTGGTTCAATTGTCAATGTACATAACTACATATTTTGGTGTGTGTGTGTGTGTGTGTGTGTGTGTGTGTGTGTGTGTGTGTGGGGGGGGGGGTGGGATCGGGGGGTGTTCAGGAGTGAGCCAGAGTTCAAACCCAGAGCTATAATGATAAATCTTCCCGCCGGCCACTTGAGTTCTGCCCGGTGCCACGTTAGGGCCCCAAGTAACACATAGAGACTTATATTAGTTACAATGCTGCTGGCCAATGATTAGGATTTCTTATATGCTTGCTCTGTCTTAAGTATCAACCATAGCCATTAATCTATATATTTATAAAGACTTATCTTATGGAGGATGTTGGCGGCATGCATCTTCTTCCCAGGATCACATGGCAGCATAGAAAAGAGAGGAAGAGGAAGAGAGCAATTTCCTGCTTGTCCCTGCTTATATTCTGAGTCTGCCTGCTATGTCACTTCCTCCTGGATCACAAGACTTCTCTTTACTACATTTCCCAGAATCCTCCTCAACTCCTACTCCCACCTATCTTGCTTCCCAATTGGCCAACAGTGCTTTATTCAACAACCAATAAGATAAACATATACACAGAAGGACTTCTCCCATCATCTCCTCTTTTCTGTCTGAATAAAAATTTTTGCTCATTGGAAAGCACTCACTTCAAGAAAATAAGAAGACTTAAGTATAGTGGTTTGATCGTCAATGTACATAACTACCTATTTTGGTGTGTGTGTGTGTGTGTGTGTGTGTGTGTGTGTGTGTGTGTATGTGTGCGCGAGCTTGCATGCGTGCGCACGCGCTTCATGTGTGAGCCAGAGTTCAAACCCAGAGCCTCATACATGTTGAGAAGTTCACATCTGAGCTCCACCCCAAGGCTTCTGAGGGAGGGTTGTTTGTTTTTTAATTTTAATTTTATTTATGTGTGTGAGTGTTTTGCCTGCATGCTTGTTTGTGTACCACATGTGTGCAGTGCCCACAGAGACCAGAAGATGGTATTGGAGTCCCTGGAACTGGAGTTAAGAGACTATTGTAAGCTGCCATGTGGATGCTGGGAATCAAACTGGTTCCTCTGGAAGAGCAGCCAGTGTTCTAATCACTGAGCCAGCTCTGCAGCCCCAAGACTGCTATTTGAATGGGAGTGTTTACTTCATGGTACAGTGTGTCCTGTCTGGTTCCTGAGCCTGTGATCTCAGAAACTTGGCAGATTGAGGCATGAGGGTCACCTGAATTTGAGGCCAGCCTGAGCACCAAGCATAGCAAGACTGTCACAACAAAAAAAAAGTACAACTAGCGCTGATTTAGGAGCATAGCTCAATGGCAGAGCATGTGCTTAGCCTTCTCAGGGACTTAGCTTCAATCCCCAGTGCCAAAGAAAAGAGAGAGAGAATGAGCCGGGAGGGTGAATTAAAGTACAAATACAGATAAGTACATTTTTTCTTTTAACAGTGTCATGTTTCCCAGGCTTTTAAAAGTGTCATGTTTCCCACGTTTCCTGAGCCAAAGTGATCCTCCTCCCTCAGCTTCTCAGGTGCCACCACACCCAGCTCAGAATGTACTTGTAAGAATGAAAATGGAGTGTTCACCAAACGTTATCTAAAAATTGTTTTAATGTGAAATTTAACAACATACAATGTTGCCATAAAATAATGATAATCACCTACTTGTTAAAATGAGCTTGGAAGGCTGGTACTGGGGCTGGTACTGGGGCTCAGGGTGGGGTGCAGGTTGGAGAGGAAGTTGTTTATTTTTGTGGTTTTGAGACAGGGTTTCATTATGTAGCCCGACTGACCTCAGACTCAGAGCACTTGTCTTACCCTGACCTTCAAGTTTGGAAATTACAAGCACACACCTCTACACCCAGCAAGCCACATCGTCTCATATAGTCTAAGGTATAGTGTGGGGCATTCACTCTTTTAGTCCACTTGGCTGCTAGCACAGACTTTCATAAGCTGAGGACTTGAAACTACATAAGTTTATTCTTTGTGATTCTGGAGGTTAGGGAAATCTTGGATCATGTGGCTGGTGAGAAGTTTGCTTCTTGGTGTCACAGTGGACCAATCATCTCCTCCCAGTGTCTCCATATGGTTGAAGGGCACAGGACCTCTCTTGGGCTTTCTCTGTGAGGTGATCTAATTAATCACTTTCAAGGAACCCTAGCTCCAAACGTCACCTTGGGTTTAATATTTCAACATGAATTTCAGGAGGATACAGACATTCAAATGGTAGCAGAAAACAATCTAATTTCTGTGGGGATAGATATCTGGTCTCCCCAGTACATTAGGCCATACCAATTCCATTGTGGCTGTGATAGGAAACCTTCCTCACATAGGGTGAAGTCCTGGGTTCATTCACCAACACTGCAAAAAATAAAAAGAGAGAGAGAGAGAGAGATAGATAGAGAGAGAGAGAGAGAGAGAGAGAAATAATTATTTGTTTTCTACTGCTCTCCACCGTGTATGCTGACAAACTTAGCTTGGTCAATCTCAGTTCCCACCAGCCTCCCACAGAGAGGGATGCCTGCAGAGAATATTCATCTTACATCTGAAGATGGGCACACAGTGGCCATCTTTCTGAGGCTGTCCCAAAGAAGCATCACCAAGGACTGGGTGATCTTTGGAGCACCCACAGATGCCTGTTGCTTATGAGAGCTAACTCACCTGGGGAAGCCTTTACAGACTGTTTGGTAACTTAACTAAGGAGACGCTTGGCCTATACCAGCTCATCAGTCTTGTAGAACCTGAGAGAGGGACATCCCTTTGGTGTTACTAATTGTTTAGTTTTCACGTGAGGACTGTTTACACACTTGTAGCACAGACTCAACCGATTTTGTAAGGCCATCGTAAGCAACTGCCAAACTAGGAAACTAGTCAAGTGCCTCATCCCCCACCTTCTATGAGACATTTGCCAGTATCAGCCCTTCCTGTGTCATTTATATGTCTACATTTACCTGTATCAGACATCCAGATCTGTCCTGAGTATATTCATGAAAGAGATAACAGTACCAAGTTATATAAAATCCATTCATCTGAATCAAGGCAAAGCTAGCTGGTAACCTAAAGAGATTAAGCACATACACACTCAACAGTGCTAGCAGTGCTGGGTGGACGGGACCTGCAGTCTCCAGGTTACTTAGCACATCTGTCCTCAGCAAATAATACAGACATGTAGGCATGTGCTTCTGTTCTGTTTGTTCATGTACCAACTCTGTGTTTTAATGCATCCCTTGATCTCTAGGTGTTTGTGAAAGCTGGAGACAGAGTAAAAACCGGAGACTCTCTGATGGTTATGATCGCCATGAAGATGGAGGTATGTGAAATCCCAAGGTCAGGTGCCAAGTAAGCCTTGGGAACAACCCAGCTTAGTTGTTCTTTGCTTTATTTGAGGAGTTAACAACATTTTAAATACTAAGAGTCATTAACTGGCTAAGTATTAATTGCAAGAAGCTAAAACAAGCATCCTTCTGTTAAATACATTTTTGTCTTGTGAAGCCATACCTGCCATTCTGTACTTACTGAAATTATCAACAGCAATATCCCAGCTGAACAGTCACTGTCAATATTTCCTAAAGCTGAATAAAGGATGACAAGTGTTGAACTGCAGGTCAGTAGCTCCCGGCCCTAGGCAAATACTGCATTCGCTTTGGGAGCTTTGTAGACCTTCCAGAGACAAGTTGAACTGGGGCCTCCAACAGGAAGGCCCAGTTGTGATGCTGGGATTGATCCCAGGGCTCTGTGCAGCTAGTGGGGTACACTCAATGGCACCCCGAGTCCTAGCACTTCATGTAAGCTCCCCTTATTAAAGTGTGATGTAAAACCTGGTTGAGATTGCTCTTAGACAAGAGCCTCTCAGTCACATCATAGTGCTCAGTGTTGACTCTTCTGCAAGTGTTTCCATTTTCTCTGTGGATGAGATGTGTGTGAACAGACTGAGAAACAACAGGGCATTGAAGGTGTTAGCTGTTTTTTCATTTTTGTCTGCCTCTCATGGCTTGGTGTGTGCCTGGCCCTCACTGGCATGACTACATTGTTGTTTATGTCCCTGCAGCATACCATAAAAGCTCCAAAGGATGGCAAGATTAAAAAGGTGCTCTTCAGAGAAGGGGCCCAGGCCAACAGACATGCGCCTTTAGTGGAGTTCGAGGAGGAGGAGGAATCTGACTAATGCAAGTCATAATGAACTGTGCCCATCAAAGAAGGCTGACAGCACAACATCTTACCTGCCCAATACAGCAAGTGCCTCCTGAATCTCTAGATCCCAGAAAGAGGAGCTTTATTCAAAAAAAAAAAAAAAATGATGATGTGATGGTACTTAAAACCCTTTGATACTTACAAATTATCTCAAAAGATTTCATAGAAATAAAACTGAGTTTTTTGTTTTGGGTTTTTTTTTTGGAAACTAATGTCTGCCTTAAATCTTATATGTTTACTCTTTTAGGAATAGGATAGAGGACAGCTCGATCAAATGAGAGATTAAAAGGAAAAGTCATATAAATAAATGGCTTTCCATTTACCTCTAATGACAATATAGTAACTTCAGAGGCAGATGTCACAGAGCTGAACTCAAGTAAGGGTAACTTAATTGAGTAGTTTAAGACATGAGTGTTACTTGTTTCTAGTCCTTGTGTCTGAAAAGTTTCTATTTAGATTCTTCTGCCTTTAGTGTACTTGCCAGGAGCCTGGAAAGCCCCAGGTGACTGAATGTGTGCTGTTGACCTGGGCACGGCCATGTCAACAACCTTTGCCTTAGACCCAAGGAATATGGCAAAGACACCCTCCCCCCCCCCCCCCCCCTGTGCCCAATATTCCCCTTTGGGAATGAGGCCCAGAGGAATTTTGAACAAGGCCTTCCACTGTTGCATGTGCAGGTATTGATGTTGTGTGCAAACGTTGTCCATCATAGCCATCTACCCCTGGGATGTTTACAGCCTGCTCTCCTGCAGAGATCACTCCTACCAAGATTAGCTAATCTGTGGCCTCCATTCAGCTATATACCATAAACCCTCTCCTTGTTTATATGTATGCCATAATCTCACATGCTTATTCAGTTCTGTGTAATAAACATCCTGCACATCCAAGGTGCTGTGATTTCTCCTTCAGAGTCTGGTCCATCTGATCCCAGTCTTGTCTTCGTTCCCTTGTCACCCCAGTCAAGTCTGTCCCTGGAGCTGTGCTGGACATGGCACTACTGCACTTGATAAGTTGTATTTTAAAGAATGTATCATACTAGAAGGTTATTTATCTTTAATTTGGATAAATTAAAAAGAAATAATTTTGTACAAAAAGGGGAAAAGGACAGAGGAGATGGCAGAAATGACTAACATAAAAGCAAGAGGACTAGAATTTTGATTCCTAGCATCCATGAAAATGCCAGGTAAGCATGCCAACTTGCCTGCAATTCCACACTCAGAAGGCGGAGACCAGATCAATGGTATGAACCAGCTAGCAAGACTAGTCATATCTGTGAGCTCTGAGTTTGGTTGAGAGACCCTACCTCACAATAAGGTGGGAGCAGAATAGAAGAGTATCCCAGATATCAACTTCAGGCCTCTCCACATATGGCTGACACAAAGGAATAGGGCTGGGCTAGAAAGGAGGGCTGAGAAGGGGCCAGGGGAAGGAGGAAGGCTGGAGTGCAGCAAGCCTCTACGGAATCCCTAGGGAATGGAATTAGGAGGGAGGGGAGGCACCTGCAAGCAGCTGCTGCAGGACTGGGGTGAACCTGGAAAGAGTGTAATGGAGGGCAGGAGGGTGAGGATTGCCTGGGCAATAACTTAATCACAGGTGGGCATAGTCATGTCAAAATTTCCAAACTGTATCCCTGCATGTCAGGGAAACCATTCTAAAGGCAGTCATGACAATTGTATGTGGTCTTATTGTGGCGATATATTGTTTATTATTTATTAAAGCCACTGGAGATCAAAATAGCAAAGCAGCCACACTAGTTACCTATAAAAGTTAGGTGGTGGTGACATAAACCTTTAATCCCAGAACTCAGGATTAAGAGGTAGACGGATCTCTGTTAGTTCAAGGCCACACTCAGTACACAAAATCCAGTCCTAAAAGAAACAGCTCACACAAAGGTAATCTCAGCACCTGGGATCACACACCTTTAATCTCCCCTATAAGACAGGAGCAGGGTCTCAGAGCTGGATTCAGTCTGAGAGTTAGTCTCCAGCCATGTTGAGGAGAGCATAACAGTCTGAATGAATCTGAGGAGCAGTGAAGTCGGGAGCAGTCTGAGGATCGCCCCTTTGGTCTGAGCTGAGGTAGAGGTAGGAGCTAGTGGCTGGATGCTTTGCTTTTCTGATCTTCAGCTTGAAGCTTGAACCCCAATATCAGTCTCTGGGTCTTTTATTTATCATGTTACAATATTTTGTTTATGATCTAACAAATAAAGCTTGACTCAGAGCTAGCCACATTAGCTAACTATAGTGGTCAGGCAGTGGTGGCACACACCTTTAATCCCAGCACTCCAGAGACAGAGGCGGACAGATATTGGTGAGTTCAAAGCCACCCTGAGCTACATGAGACTGTCTAAAAGAGAAACAGAGCTCACAGAAAGGTGATCTCAGCACTTGGGATCACATGCCTTTGATCCCAGCACTAGGGAGATGGAGACAGCAGTGATATGGCTGGGAGGAGAAAGGAATATAAGGCAGGAGGATACAAGAGAGAGATGCAGTCTAGGCAGTCATTCTGATGATGCTTTCAGTCTGAGGATTCCTAGAGGCAGGATTGCCCTTTTGTCTGAGGATTCAACAGAGGTAAGAACTAGTAGCTGGCTGTTTTGCTTCTCTGATCTTTCAACTCCCCCAACCCCCCAAATATCTGACTCCGGGTTTTTTTATTATTAATACCAATTAGAATTTATGCTACAATCGTGCCAAAGAGTCAGGAGTGTGGGTCTCCCACAGTCTGATTATATGTCCTAGTTAGGATGCCCATTTATTCATCAAGGTAACATCTGGATGTAACTGAAGGTGAACCGTGACTGGTGTGGCAATAGGTGTTTCAGTCAAAGTTTTGTGGGCAGATGTGACCAGGGTCAGATTCATTAAGGAAAATCCAGGGATGGAGGAGTTAGACTAAGACGTGGGGCAGTGGCAGAGCCTAACTGGCCAGTGAGCCAGTGGTGCCCTGTTCCTGAGCAGATGTGCACAACTGGAGGAGAGATGCCAAGCTGGCCAGGCTACATGAGATAGGTGTGCAGTGGAGGCTGAAGAAACGCCCTGCCACGAAGTGGAAAATGGGTGAGGAGCAAGGGGTGCTTATATAGAATTATTTTTTTAGCAAGGAATTGAGGAACCTGCCTGACTCCATTTTGAAGGCTGGAGACATTATGCTGTATTTTTTAAAAAGTAAGTTCTTATTTACTGTGGGCGTTGAGTTGCTGTTTCCTGGAACCTGGCCTTCCCCAACCCATGACCTTGATTTGTTTTTTAGAATTTCCTTACCCTCCCTGATCAATCCCTGACCCCTTCCTAATCTACATGATGGGTGACCACATGATGTTTTTAAAAGATTTCTTTGTATTTCCTTATGCCTCTTTGTTTCCCTCTGTAAAAGTACTCATGATTATACTCCTTAAAAGGGGGCCCAAGAGATGGATTCAGGGCTGTTCTCTTTAACTGACTTAGGCAGTCACTGGCCATCTCTTCGGTGCACCCCAATTGCTTCAAATTGTGGTAGTGGTTTTATTCTCACCATTGGGATTAACAGAACATAGTGATATCTGAGGGGGAAAATCTGACATTTAGAGCCCCTTTGAAAAAGAGACGACAGTATTCACAAGATTAAATATTTCCATTCTCTGTGATCTAACATTCTACTTCTAGAAAACTACAAGTACACATACACTAGGCATACTCATAGTAAATTGAAATTCATTGGTACAACACTTGCCTAGTATGTGCAAGGTCAACACACACACACACACACACACACACACACACACACACACACATACACACACAAATTCATAGCCACACAAAAAACAATCAACTGACAAGAAAAGGGAGACTGGTTTAGGCATGCATTGGACACTACATAGCAACACACTAAGCAAGCAGAGTCATTGCTTCGAGAAATAAGTCTATCTGTGGTAACATACAGTGTTACCGTCTAAAGTCAGCAACCTGACAATACAGTGTTTAGCTCATCTAGAGAAGTAATAAAGTTGTATTCTTTCAGATGTAATAAAAACTTCACAGCTGCAGACAGTGGTTAGCTCTGGGTCCCAAACACACACAGCCTGGGCTGGCTGAAGTACATAAGACTGTATATGGTCCAGTTTGACTGGGTGGTTGTTTTGTTACTTTTGTTACAAAACTATACTTCATAAAGAGTGGCATTTAATCCTTTTATAAATCAAATGTTACATTAAGATATACTTAAGAAGAGGTATTCTACAGCAGCATGGAGCTGGGAAGAAGGAAAGACTGACAAGAGAGTAGAGCCAGTTAGAGCATGAGGTGATAGCCTTCCAGACCTTCTAAACCATGACTTTTCAAACTATAGCCCCATCAGCAGATACTTTTCCACTCCAAGAAAACTTTTCCATTTATTTGTTTATTTTGAGGCTGGTGAGAAAGTCCGGGACCTTGCACCTGCAGACAAGGGCTCTGCACTGGGCTCTGCCTCCAGGCCCCGAATGTCCCTTCTCTGGAAGAAGGAACTTCAAAGTTTCTCTGTTGGAAATTTCTAGTTGCTATCTTCCCCCTTTCAAATAATACTATTTAGATTGTTTAGTGTAGCAAAGGGAGCTCTTTAAGTGAATGTGTTTAAAATATGTGCATAGAAAAAAATTTGAAGCCCAGCAGTCCATTGCCACTGTGGTGGTTTGGATAAGAATGGCCCCCATAGACACACATATTTGATTGTTTGGTCATCAGGGAGTGGCATTAGTTGAGAAGGATTAGGAGGTGTGGCCTTGTTGGAAGAAGTGTGTCAGTGGCAATAGGCTTTGGAGTTTCAAAAGCCTCAGCCAGTCCCAGTGTCTGTCTCTTTGCTGACTGTGGATCCGGATGTATAACTCCCCTTCTCCAGCACTATGTCTGCCTGTGTGTTGCCATGCTTCCCAGCATGATGATAATAGACTAAACCTCTGAAACTGTAAGCCAGCCCTAGTTAAATGCTTTCCTTTAAAAGTGTTGCAATGGTCATGGTGTCTTTTCAAGCAATAGAACATTTAGTAAGCACCAGCATATTGGAATTTATTCTTAGAATGATCACCAGTTGTGACTACATCAAGGCAGGCAGTGAGACTAGATCTCCTGCAAACAACTGACATAACTTTCCCTGACTTGTCCTACATAAGAAAAGTATTTTTTTCTTTGTTAGTACAAGTTTGACAAGACGCAAAAGGGACACGGAGAAGATACTCCTCCATGTTCTGTCAGGACTTGGATAGCGGTGAACTAGTCAGTGATGGGGAGGTTGGTGTGGTGGCACATGGCTGTCATCCCAGCATTTTGAAGCTGGAGGATCATGATTTGCAGGCTCAGCTAGGCTACACAGTGAGACCTTATGGCTTTTATGTTAAGGTGAAAGCCCAAGGATGTAATCTTTGTTCTTGCGGAACAGAAAAGCTCTTCATGGTTAGGCAGTGAAGACTGGGTATGTAACCCTGGCATGTTGTAAGATAGCCCTCCAGTGTGGAAATGCCCTCTGCCCATGCAAACCATTCCTAACCCAGCCTTCCAGCAAGATGGGCTTGGGGCAGGAGTCACTTATTCTCAACAGGCCCATGTGAGAGGAGCAGCCAGACTTGATCTGGTAGCAAGCCAAGTTCATGCCTGCATTCATGCGTGTCAGTTCTACAGACATTTGATGTTTGCTTCTGTCCCTTGAAACAAAGATGGGAAGAATTGCTTGTACCCTGGCTCTAATGCAAGTGATGCAGCCATGCAGGAAAAAGGTAATAAATTTTAGTAAGTAGTACCTGGACACTAGATGCTATGGGAACCAAAAGAGTAGAAATCATCCTGGAGATCAGACAGTGAGAGAGGGAGTGACATTTTAGCTGAGCTTTAGAGGACAGCCATTTGCCACACTGAGAGAGAGATGACAGGTAGTA